GTCCGAAGATTGGTGTCACAGTGTAGGTGGTTCTGGGAAGTTGAGTGGTGGGTTGAAATCAAACATACATCTTCGGAGCAGGAGGCTCTTTTGGCCGGCTTAAAGCTGCGGCGCGTTCAGTGGTTGTCGGCGTGCCAGGGGTCATGCTCCGGTTCATAGTTTTGGAGGTGGAGTGGCAGGGGCGCCCCTGCGTGTCGTAATACCCTTGTGGCAGGGGATGCAGGACTGTGGCAGTCGGTGTGGTGGTTGGAGGTGGCGTGGTGTATTCTGGAGCCAGTGGAGCTGGCGGCGGCTGTGATGGTTGTACAGGATAGTAGGATGGCCATGCGTGTACCGGCGGGGGCGAGGCCTGGGGTGGTGCTGAGGCCGGTGTTGGTTGGGCTGTCGCTCCCTGGAAGATGGGCCATCCTGTGGCTGAAGGGACGGCAGGGGTTGGTTGATGGCCGGAGCCTGGTGGGTGGGGAGCAGGGTTGGCGGGGGATGTTTTGGAAGAGGTTGCACGGTGGGAAGGAATTGTTGTGGTGTTGGACGTGGTGCTGTGCGGGTGGGAACTGGGGAGCCAGAACGTGGATCTGGTTGTCGAGTGCGGGTAGGGGTGGTGGAACGTGGTGGGGTCTTGGAGCGCTTGTTGCGCGGGGTGCCGCCAATAGGGGAAGGGAAGTCCTGAGTGAGTTCAGGGTGTGTCGGAGTGGTGACAGTAGGGGTGGGGATAAGGTTGACGTACTGCCAGCGCTCGTGAGGTTGCTTGTTTGCTGCGGCAGTGAAGCTGGGTGAGGTGGTGCTGGGAATGTTGGCGGTAGTGTTGGAAGAGGCTGATTGCTCCGGGGGTGGGGTGGCCATGATGCCTGCAAATGCAGGTAAGTGGACAATGCCATTGATGTCTGTTTGTGTGTGGCGATGGTGAATAGCCGGTCGTGGGGTAGTCTGTTGGGATTGATGGAAGTGTGGGGCTGTAAAAGGGCTGTCCAGCACGGACATCCATGGTGACGGGGGAAAAGGCCGGTGGAGTTGGGGGTCGACTTGGCGTGTGTGAACAAGGTAAAGGCTGTGCAGGTTGGCCAGGACGTCGGTTGCTTGTTGAAGTAGGCGATGGAGCTGACTAAGAGCAATCGTAGTTCGATGGAGGAGTCGGGCTTGATCGGCATGAGACTGCATCTTGAAGTGCAGTGTCGAGGGCAAGCAGCTGAAGTGGCGAGCTGGATCAGCGGGCGGATGGCGCATCGCAAGTGTCAGCGCTGCATGAACGGCCGGTAAATACGAGCGGGGCATGCAATTGAATTACCGGAATGAATTATTGAGCATGAATTTTGCAGTACATACAGAGTCACATTGTAAGGCGGGGCTGAATCAATACAACCTGAAAAGACATGAAGGAGATCCGCAACTGGTGATCATGTAAGGAAAACCATGGTCAAAAGAATCTAGCAAACGTAGAAAACCAAAAGATGGTCAAAGCGATCATCCACGAAACAGCGATCAAAGGGTCAAACTGAGCACAAAACGAATAGTGGTTGCAATGGTTCAAAAAGGAAAAGCAACTTGTTATAAATAGATTGAAGTCCAAGGCATGTGATTGCAGCTCGCTGGCACTAAGACTAAGACTGGAGCTCCGATTTTGCGAAGCCGAAGTTGGTGGCGGAATGTGAAACGCGTGGAGAAGCCTCTCTCAAGTGTGGTGGGTTGACGTTGGTGTTGAAGAAGGTGAGTTGGTCGGTGGTATGCGGTGAAGACTCAAAGGTCGGGTGGTGTTGCATTGATAGACCACGCCAGTCCTTTGACAATGGCGTTATGGGGGTGAATCACCCAGCAGCGGGCTTTGGAGTGGCAAACAGCGCCATGGTCTTGTTGCAAAAGGTGCATGGCTTGGGCTTCACCGCCGCTGGTGAACTTAGTCCCCCGGCCCCAGGCTAGGAGATGGATCATGATAGAATGGATGTTTTTTGCCAGCTTCCATGTGTTGTGGAGTATGCGGGCTTGTTCGTAGTTGTCGTGCGTTTGCTGGTGAGTGATGCGTGTGGCTTGGGCGAAAAAGCCCGGGTTGGCTTCAAAGTGGAGGGTGCTGGGCAGGAGACGGCCCTGTTGGAGGATGGCAGTGATGTTGCCATGGGGGCCTCTATGACCGGCGTTGATGTGCACTGTTTCTGGGGTAGTAGAGGTGGCGCGGGTGGCAGGCGGTGGTAAGTGGCCTTGTCGACCAGACTGGGAATGTTGTGTCATAGGTATTGGTAGCGTCATTCCACTTCACATGGGTGAGTTGCCGGAAATCTGCTAAGTCGTCGTGGGTGTAGCCGCTGTCAGCGAGAAGTTTGGCGACGTACGCATGTTGTGGTTTGTTTTCAGCTGCCAACTGCGCCGCATGAAAGTTGAGCCACCATTCGATTTGTTCTTGGCGGGAAAGCTGGTGGAAATGTGGTGGTGCTTTCCAAGGCGGGTGGGGGCGTCGCATGGCTGGAATGTTGGGAAATTCCGCCTGGGACATGTTTGTGATCTGGTGGTGAGTTGTGGACTGTTGATTGGGCCGGAGAGTGATGGGTGCGTGGGAGCGGCTGCGGGAGCGGCTGTCTGATGTTGTGAGATATGAGGTTGAAGGGGAACGGCGACGCCGACGGCGTGCCGACGAAGCTTTGGCGGTAGAAGCGGCAGGGGAGTGGTGATGTCTGGTGCGCCGGTCGCGTGTACGGCGACTACGGTGGCGGCGGCGACGTCGGCTGCGTTCTCTGCTGCGGTGGGTACGGCCGGCGGTTGCAAGAGAGGCCGGTGGTGAATGGGCAGTGCCCGAGTGGGTCGGTGTAGCTGCTGGAGGTTGTGTGTGGGAGCGCTTGTGGGACTCCGTAGTTGGCGCTGAAGGTGCCTGCAGTGGGGGTGGTGGTGGTGGTGGTAGTAGTGGTGGAGCTGTTGCGAGCAAGGTGGGCGGTTGGTGATGTGGAGGGTGGTGTAGAGGCTGTAGTATTGGTGGCCAGTTGGGAGGTGCCCGGATGGGCACTGGCGGAGGATGGGATGCTCAGATCGCCAGGAACTGGTGGCGCAGGTGCCACCGTGGAAGGCGTTGGGTCAGAAAGCGCAGTGGTGGTTGAGGCTATGTGAGGGTGGTGAAGTGTGAACCACTGGTGGGAAAAGTAAGGTTGCCAAACGCCTTGAGATTGGTCCCAGTGAATGGGAGTCGGCTGTGCCAGTGGTTGTGGTGCCTGCGGAGCGTGTGGAGCGGGTGGTGCTGTGATGTGGGCTGCACAGGAGGTGGGTGGTGTAGAGGTGGTGCTGGCATGGGCTCAAGTGCCTGCATCTGAGGTGGTGGTGGGTAGGCGTGTGTGTGAGCCACGAAGGTCGGCGCCGGTGGAGGATGGGTTGGCAAGTGATGTGGCCAGGTAAGAGCTGGCGGTTGCTGTGAAGTGGCCTGAAAGTGAGACAGGATCGGTTGTGGTTGCTGATGGGACAGGACGGTAGGGAGAGGTGCCGTTGGTGGAGGATGGTGCCATGGTGATGGCTGAGTGCTGACAGTAGGTATGGTGGGTGCGGTACTTGGTGATGGCCATTGTGGATACGGCCAGGGATACTGCATGTGGAGAACAATGGAGAGGCCAAACCGAAAGGCTGCAGAAAATGGCGCCGGCGCGGCACGGCAGCGGAAGTGAGAGGTTGGAAATCCTAGTGAGATCTGGAGCCTGAGTGCATGTGTAGGGAAGTTGAGTAAGGTGAAATCTCGGCATGCAATGCAATCTCTGGGATCTGCAGTGCTGAGCACGCGTAAGTTGATCGTTGGCTAAACGGCTACGGTTGGAAAAAATTAAAAATTGAGGAATGCAGCAATGCACAACACGAATGGATTTCAGAACTTTGGGTAGACATTCCGTCGCTTATAGCCCGGCGGCTCGAAAAATCAGTTAATTCAGGGATAAAGTTGAAGAAACGGAAAGGCAGTTATAAAAATGAAGGTCGGTGATTTCCAGTATGATTTCGGCGCCTCCTTTCGGAGGGTCACACCCAGTACCCAAGTGGGAAGACTGAGCGGTCCACACTTCGAACTTGGTTTTCAGTTAGACTCAATTGCCACGATGGGAAGGATGGCGATGGAACGGAAAGGTGCAGGAGTCAGCAAAACAGTATTGTTGAACAATGTTTTCACTCTGACAGTCAGTGTGATTGCAAGTCGGCTGCCAGCCTGCGGTGGAAAAAGGTTTGGGGGTCTATCATGCAAGGACCATGGAAACAAAACGTGGAAGAGTGGAGTCACAGCTTAATCAAACGTTCCGTCAGCGCAGGTACGCCAGGATGGCCAATCCTGGTATCCCGTGTTCAGACTAGCGTTGGGCGTAGTCATCTGAACACGCTACGCCCCCCTGCCTTTGTTACAGTGGAAAGGTGACAACGTGGAAAACCCTTAGAACCAGGGTGTGACACACACAACACACACACACGCACACGCAAAACTCTTTGTGAACAGCCACTTTGCCGTTCACAAAGTGCAACGTGTCCCAGGATGCTCAAAATAGTTGAGTTGTACTGCAATTGCAGTTCTGCATCGTGGGACACTTGCCCGACTTGCCCAAGCTTCAGGCTATTGTATGGATAGTTTCCTGCAAGTTCGATATGTTCAAGCGCTAATTTTCCGGTAATACTCGGTGTATGCGCAGGCATTCCTGGCCGGAAGGCTGGAGCCGTTCTGCGACTCAGAGCTTTGCAGAGTGTTGAGTGGCAAGAGAGTGGGCATGGCCCAGAAAGAGGGAAACCAATGCAAAAACTCTGAGCAGATGGGGCACAGGTGAAACCCATTAGTTTGGGGCATTTGTGCCCGTGCATCTCGGGACAAACCCAAGTTGGTCCAAGTGTCACCATGCGAGGACCCATGACTAAAGGTTACCAAAGGTTTGGACCGTGCCAGAACTCCAACGGTGCAAGAATTATTTTGTTTTGACAGAATAAATCAAGTTGTGCCTCGAACTGTTTGGAGAGTCCAAGTGATTGGGCGTTGCTTTTGGATCAGAAGCAACGAAGTGAGGTCCTGGATGAGCGAACTTCCTGATGAAGACCGTCAGGCTAGGGGTGCTTAGCAATCCCAGAGATTTAAGCAAACCGCATAACCTTTTAGTCAATTATGTTGAACTTCATATTTGGATATATTTGGAAAATTCATTGATGGTGAGATGCTAGATGTTGTGTATGCCACATCCGCTTGCTGGTTCATCCAGCGACCAAGTCATGTTTCCTCATTTATGATGTTTTTACGAAGCACTGCTTGTTTCACACGATCCGCAAAACTTGGTGCTCTGCATCCTAGGAGACAACTGGATCAGTTCGTAAGTCTCAGCCTTGGAGAAGAAGCGAGGGTCCAATCGCAGCCTCAGTTTGGCAGCCGGGCCATTGATGGCCTTCAAGTCCAAAGATTATTGAACGCTTTGCAAAACATGACGACATAGTGACTCCTTACATTTGGCTCTTTGTCCTCTCAATTTCGACAGGATCTAGGGAGCGATGGTGTCGGGTTTGAATGAGATTGACATAGATTGACAGCCCCTACAAGATCTACAATATAGACCTGGGACAGTAACTAATCTTCGTTTGGCGCAAGGAGGCATTGATGAGCATAAAGGTAATGAGGTGTATGCTCAAAGGTCAACGTCGCTGTGTGCTGCATGATACCGATGATTTGGGTGTCAAAGCTCGGGTTGCTTTGGTGTTGTGTCGCAGCCACAGCTGCTGTGAGACTCATATTACAGTAAGAGGTTGCAAGCCAAGGCTTGTTGGACGTCAGTGTCGGCAAGTGGTGGAGGAGATTCGACACAGCTTTCCAGTCAAAGTATGATGCATGAAGCTTCCGTACTACATTCAGCAGAAGGTAGCAGCCAGGTTTACCACCGCCAGATGTGAGCTGTCTTGCTTTGCTTGGGAGTGCCTTCTGGAATAGCTACTTTAGGAACTTGCTTGTCTTTGGTTGACGATTGTATCAAGCAGCTAAAGACTCATTCCAACCCGGTATATAGCATCCTATTCTCAGCCACTGAATTGGTAAGCTAACGTGCTGTGCGGCGAGCTTGCTCGACAGGAGAGCCCCTTTGAAGCTCTCATCGAGGTGGATCTGATTAGTCAAACGATCTTCTTGCCGACTCAATATCCCTTGGCTTGGCCAGGGCTACGATGAATGGAGAAGAGATCATCAGATGCGGACCTTGCAGTTGGACATTCTAGCGTGTGGTGCCGAGCGAGATACAATCAGATACACCATCGGTTTCTAAAGAATCTTCAGCGGCATAAACGTTGGTAAATGAGTTCAGTCGGGAATTCGCTGGTTCCAAGTTGCATGGATGGAGTGTCTATTGAGAGAAGCACGAGTGCAAAAAGTCCTTCTCTGGAGGCCCATGCTTGCCACATGGAATATCACTGCCTGGGGCTTAGATGCAGAGGACACAGGCTCAACACATGTAACAGAGAGGACATGATTCAACAAGGTTATCGCTTTTGAGGGGGGGCCTATCGCCTTCAACAGGTATATATACAGTAATATAATGTAATATACCTTTATAAGGTTATCGAAAAAGCTCCTAGTAGCGTTAGTAGCGTCCTTGTTCCTAGTAGTAAGGCCACGAGCCCCTAATAGCATGCTACTAGTAGCGATGCCCTTTGCTCCTAGTAGCGTCCTTGTTCCTAGTAGTAAGGCCTATCGCCTTAACAGGTACGGTATATATATATATATACAGTATATATACAGTATTAGATTGCTAAATTCACGACTGCCCTTTACTAAACTGGTCATCGCACTTTTTGGCGGTTGCTCACATAGAGTCCAGAACAGTGACAGAACAAAACCTGGAGAACTCGAAATGATTGTTCCATATTTTTCCCATTGGCTATGTGGCTATGGCGCGTCTGGCTGAAAAGTGTGGAAGCAGTTATTCTTCTCCAAGTGAAAAGACTGGTTTTGTTTCAAGGCGCGCCTGATATCATTTCATGCGGCAAGCAAGGTGTTTATTAGAACTAGCATGACTGAAGTTGTTGTGCACCATATGGACTCACATGGACTCACCTAGGAATCTGTCCTAACGACCAACATTTGTGAGCAAATGGATCTTTAGATGTTTGACTTATTGGAGGTGGATGACCAAGCCAGTGCATCAGAACACCTGTGACTTTCGGGGGGGTTCTATGGCTGGTGTGGCTTGTTCATGGCTCGATGATTCACTCCATCCGCCCGGCATTGTCAGGTGTGGCGACTGGATTTTGGTGTGAATGAGGTGTGGTCGTGGCACCGGTCCTGAGATGTCTTGACTATTTCAACTGTTTCCTTTGTCTAGACCGCAATGGGCACACGTGTTCTGTATGGATAGATGATCCGGCTTAATGAGATTTAGCTTGCTAGTTGGATGCTGCATGCAGAGCTGCTCCTAGGACACTGGAAGTTAGCCACTTGCAGAAGGACAGGACACAGATCCCAAGGGGTTCTATTATGTAAATTATGTATCTCTATTTTGTGCATACAAAACGCTGGGTGTCGTTGTTGTGCCATTGTGAACAATAACCCTACCATCCGATCAGCAAACATTCCAGTCCATCAGCGATCTCGCCGCCAGTGCCCCTCTGATGTGCTCAGAAGTATCTCAGCTGGATATTCTGGCTACTTCTTCGTGCATGCAAATGCCAGGCGGGAGTCTTGGCTTGCTGAATCTAACCCTTTCGCAGTCAACGTTTTGCGAATACCGACGCAAGCTTTAAATGTGACTCTCGAAGCCCCTGCAGCATTTCGGCAAGACGCAATGCATCCTGTGCGCAGTCAGCTTCATCACTGGGACCTCTCTTGCTTATGTACTGCAGCTATCTAGCCCGCACAAGGGGCCACTGCGGCACCAGACGTGATACGCACTAATACATGCAACCACTTTTTCTGTCAGTGCCAAGTTCCTCCCGGCTTGTGTTGTGGTTCGCACAACGACGGGCTCTAATATCAGGACATGTCAAACAGCAGTTGAACGAAAGACCTGGTGCACCCAACGTCTGCAAACTTCCCATGCGCCGTTGGTGGTTTGCCATGCGACCCGCAGCAGCAGCAACGCTCATTGCAAAGCCATGCAGCTAAATTTGCAAAGATGACAGACACAGAGTGACTGTGATGGTTGTCCTGTTTCTGTGGTTCTCCCATATTATATCATATGTTTTTTTTGTATCACATCTATCAGGAGGTGATTGGAAGTCGGAAGTGTCAATCAATATGCTAATATATGCTAATTGCTAAATAGCCAGAATCAAAGTGCTTTATTTCTGGTCCTGGTTTCATACGTAGCTGTAGCACCGCATAAGACAGCTTGCTTGGCTGGCTGATCCAACCAAGCATTTTCTGCATCCTTTTCTGACATTAACAACACGGATTCTGCCTGTAAGGGAAAGGGTGATGTTGATGTGTTGGACTTCTAGGTCTCAAGATAGCTTCTTGTTTCTAATAGCAAATATTGTTCCTAGTAGTAAGGCCAGGAGCCCCTATATAGTAGCGAGCATTGCTCCTAGTAGCGATGCCAGGAGCCCCTAGTAGCGATGCCCGGTGTATGTCAAATTAGATGCCTGTGAAATAGAAGGGAAAGAGACGCCGAGGCAAAAGTCTTGCGGCAGATGATCGTAGTCACGAGCTTTCTGGAGACGAACAGAGGACAGTGGCGCTCTTCCAAAAATGCAGCAACTCTGTGGTACATATCAATACATTTGTGAGGAAAGAGACCTCCCCGTCGCTCGCTTACTTGGTTGAGTCACACATTTTGTTTTGTTTTTCGTTTTGGGAGGGGGGTGAGACTGACTTCCCAGTGATTTCGTAACAGAATATTGAATATACTGTACATGCTGATTCTAAGCTTCGTTTGGCAAGTTCCTCAGAACAAGACCTTCTGCGACTGCAGGTATGGATTCTTTGGATCTCTCCAAGATATCAAGCAAGGGACTGGCAGTGGCTTTCTTTGGGATGCTGAGCACATTGTGACCAATTATCATGTCATCAAGGATGCATGTTTCAGACAATGGAAAGATGACTGTGAGGGGAAGATACAGTTCCCTCAAGTAAAGAATTGTGCTAAAACAACCCTCTAAATCCATTTGTGGCACATTTGCGGTGCCCTGCGTGCGCCCTTGGATGCCCCACCAGGTGGTGCTCCGTACAGTCGAGTACCGCCTGTATGTTTGACATCACGAAGATGCGTGTTGGTTGGAGCCGTTTGTGCGTTGGGGCTCATGAACATGTTCTAGTCATTCTAGTCTAGACAATCTGGTCCTTTGGGGGGTGACTTGGCTGCTCTATGGCAGGATGCTGACAAGGCCACGATCGTTTTTGCAGATCACTCCTCCTTTGAAGCCACTCTGGTTGGGACTGAGCCAGACCACGATCTTGCAGTGCTGCGATGCCAAACTCCAGCAGCGTGCCAGGCCTTGGAAAAGGGTGTCTCAAGCAAGTTGCAAGTGGGCCAGAATCTTCACTTGCACTTTAGCGTTACGAAATGAGAATCTCTCAGAAATTGTCAAGCAAAAGCGGTAACTCGGTACAGCTTTCTTTTTGACCTGCATGAAGTAGGTAGAGAATTGATCAGAAAATATCAGAGCAATGCATCAATGAAGCAATTTTTTTATGCAGCACTTCATGGTAGTATGACTTGGCATGACCGATGTTGTTCGAGACTTGTTTGGCTATTCCATGCCTTCTAAAGGAAGGTCTTCGCCATCGGCAATCCCTTCGGTTTGGATCAAACCTTGACCAACGGCATTGTCAGCGGCCTTGGACGGGAGATGCAAGGGGTCAACGGCACACTGATGCGGAACCTGGTCCAGACGGACGCAGCGATCAATCCTGGCAACAGCGGAGGGCCTCTGTTGGATTCCAAGGGCCGACTCATTGGATTCTTGAAGCGAAAGGACTCGAAGTAGGACTCCGACCTAGGACCTAGGACTACGGTGAAGGACTCCTTTTTATCAAGGCAGGAGGTAGACCTAGGACCTATGAGGCTACTAGTTTCAATCTTTTAGTAGCTTGGATGCAGGAAAGCTCTTGCGCCATTCATCGAATCAACAAGCGAACAGCGAGTGACCCGGAGTGACCCAAAAGCCACGATATTTTTATGGGAGATGATATGATTCATGCGTTTCTGGATGATCCTTGTTCCCGACTCTTAGATGTTGGTACAAGTTGTACAAGAGAAAAACATAGAACGAATCCCCTTTTGAACATTTTGGAGTCAGCTTCTTGCTTGCGGCCTTTAACTCCGAGGTGTCAATACGATGATCGCCAGCCCCTCTGGTGCATGGGCAGGTGTTGGCTTTGCTATCCCGGTAGACACAGTGAAACGCATCGTGCAGCAGCTCGGTATATACTGTATCAAGCAGTCTTGGAATGTTTTCGATACATGTTCAAAGAGCAGCTCGGACATGGACATGAGTCGCTGGTCTCAATGTACTCCCTACTCCATCAGTTCAGCATTTGTTGCTTCCAGGCAGCTCATCAAGCATGGCTATGTCAAGCGGGCATATTTGGGTCTCCACTTGGCCACGGAGCAGTTGAATGAACATCTCGCTCGGTCAGTGGGTCAGATCACAGGAGTCCTGATCTTGAAGATGGATCCGGGAAGCCCTGCTGAGAAGGCTGGTAAACTCTACCGGGGCGAAGGGCTTCAACTCCCAAGTTCTTCATCATCGGCCCAAAAGGGAAGTCAAGAAACACTGCCAAACTTGTGACATTTTATGACCTTATGACCACTGTACTCCAGCAATCAACCAAGAGGTTGCAAGATTTGTTGGATGAAGATGGGTCAAAAGTGCCATTCCAGAGATACTGGTACCGATGGTCTGGTTCTTCTCACTATCTCTCTATCAAGCTAAACTTGAACCCTTCACATTTCATGTCATCATTTAGATTTGAAGGCGTTTTGGTTTGGTTTCTTAGTTGTGGCTTCTGCAAGATGCAGTGACACGTGCTGGTGATATTTTGTGGGAATTTTGACAGGCGGGTCTACGGCCATTCCTTCAGACACATGGAGGTATCATCGTGGGCGATGAAATTGTTGAGCTGAATGGACACGAGGTGCTAAAGGGAACATAACATTCGTAACATGATGGAATCTGGGAGGAAGGCTACAAAGCTCGTGGAGGTCTCCCGCTTTGGGCAAAATTATAGCCTTTGTAAGCCGTAAGCCACTGTTTCTTTTTGTTCAACAATATGTCATGACAATTCCATACAATTCCGATTTCGACATTCAGTAGACAAGACATTAAAAAGTCATTAAAAACATCCATACATGCTTGTCCAGCAGGATCAATGTCAGACTACTCAGATCTTTTTTTTGACGGACAGCAATATGCTAGACAATCAGCAAAGGCAAAAAAACATCCTCATGGAATTTGCTTGCACGGCATTGTCGCATTATAAGTAGTACGGCCAGTATGGCTTTCATTCAGATATGTATTGCGCATTATGCCCTCATCATTCTCTTGAACACAGCAAGAGTATTATGCAAGAGTATGCACGGGTGAGTCTGAAAGAACTGCCAACACTCAAAACTTTCTAGTGAATATTCAAGCATCGCTGTGTGGGGTGACCCGTGGCAGTCGTGGAGGTGCAGTCAGCAGATGATGTCATGGCCATTCTTGACGAGCAGCATATAGGTGATACCATCCAGGCGGCAGCTCAGCTCGTGCTCGGACAAAAAGCTCAACCTAAGTAATTAACTGACAACCAACCATCAAAGCATGTCAAAGTCCTCAAAGTTGAATGGACGCTTCAAGAACAAGAACAAGCTGCTGGCTGCAAAGCACTAAAACTTAAAACATTAATCATGCGGAAAGAAAACACTTTCTGCCCGCTGTAGCAGGTTAAGTTGACACACGACACAAAACTTCTCTTGAGCCTGGTGGTGAACTTAAAATCAACCTTAAGTTTCCCTAAAAATGTAGGAACCAAATAATTAGCGCAAGCTATCCTGCGTCCAGTTCCTAGTAGCTTAAGGAAGCTAATAGCGACTCCCTAGCTACCTCCGCGGCCACCCCCCCCTTGCGGGCTCAAAAAAAAGACGAAACGGGAACATGGTTGAGAGATGTCGACCAGTGAGATCCAGTGAGTGGAGCGAACCCCGCAGGTGAAGTACCGCCGTCGCGAGGCCCGGAGAATCGAGACGCGCCAGACATCCGTACAGCTGGGAGAGCGTCCACGACACGCACGTCAAGATTCGTCCGGCTTGAGACCCGTGAGAAGGTCAAAGCTTTGATGTCAAAGCGGCTGAAAAGAATGAGAAGCAGACAGCGATGGCCTCCATAAGCTTCAGCTTTGCATTGACCAACGTCTTTCAGAAAAGTCGCTTGCCATTTTCTTAGCCTTGTTAGCATCATGTATAATATATATACTGTATATATATATATATATAGTTTATTGCTAACGAGAAACTGATGCTGGTCGTGAGATCAACTGGGGCACCACATACACAATACAAGTGAACCTTGAAGCTGAAAGGTGTTTCCTTTGGACCGGCATTGGACTTTCCCTCAAAGACTCTGATGTTTTCAACCGTAATGCATCACCAAAAAGGATCGCTTGTCAAGCATTCTGAACCTTCTTTGACAAGGAAAATGGAACGCTTCCGAGATGCTCCTCTTTGTGCTGTCCATCATCACAGTCACACCCAA